AGGTTATAGAAACTGAGTTTGGTATATAAAATGAGAAAATACATTTTTTATAATAAATTAATTTTAATTTTTTTTGAAAAAAAACATGATTGAAAACAAAGAATGTAATTTTCAAATTGAGATTATTTCAAGAACAAAATGGAAAACACAAAATGTGAAAAGTAATAATAGATTGTAGAATATGAGTGTTAATTATCAAAATATAAATTTTATGATATCATTATTGAAATAAAGATTTTAATATGTATAAAAGGACAGCATTTTCTCTAGAAACACATAAATAAAATTTTAAATATGACATATAGTAAGCTTTATGTTTAACCAGGAATATATTAACAACATTCAGAAACAGGTAGAAAAAGTAAATGATTTACAAGGTGGTAGGGTATATGCAGGATTCAGCCTTCTACAGACTAACATTCAACTCAAAATTATCTAAAACTACCCCATTATGAGGAAAGGGACTTTCATCATTTTTTCCCTAGAATTTCTTTTCTTTTTTGTTTTCTCAAGACAAGGTTTCTCTGTAGCTTTGCAGCCTGTCTTGGAACTCAGTATGTAGACCAAGCTGGCCTCCAACTCATGTAGATATGCCTGTCTCTGCCTCCCATGTGCTGAAACTGAAGGCATGTGCCACCAATGCACAGAAAAAAATTACAAGCAAACTACAGCTTTGCTTTGATTTTTACAACTCAAGCTTACTAACAAAAATAGGAAAAACTAATTCCCTCGTAATTAAGAAAAAAGAAAATTATGCAGATTGAATATACCTTTTATTGAGAAATAAATCAAGTTAAATACAGAGAATTGCTATTTGATTTTTAAGAACACTGACAATTTATAAAAATTAATAACAGTAAAAAGTAAAAGAAGTTGAGGATGATGAAAGGTAAGCCAGAATAAATAAGTTTAATGAACTATAATGACACACACCTGTAACCCAATAACTCAAGTAACAGAGGCAGATTTGCCACAAGTTCAAGTCCAACCTAGACTATAAAGAAATATCACATCTCAAAACAAAAACAAAAGGAGAGATGAAACTAAGTAGTTGTGAGTCAATGTTCTCAGAAACATTTCAAAAAATATCACCTCGATTTGAAACATAAGTACATATTTAAAATTTTTACTGGCTGCAACTATATAATGTTTTAAAGATTGCTTTTATTCAAATTTATTCATATTTAGATTAAAAATAAACATTTGGAGCTCTACTATTCTGTGTCTGCTTTTATTTACCTGGTCACAAAAATTAAAACTAATGAGGACTGAAGTTATGTCTTATTGATTAAGAATACTAGAGGCTCTTGAGGAGCACACAGGTTCAGTTTCCAGTACCTGCATAGTGGTTCATAATATTCTGTAACCACAGTTTGAAGAAATGTGACGCCATCTTCTGGCCTCATATGTACCGTACTGTATACACACAGCACACACACACACACACACACACACACACATGCATTCAAAACACGTAAACATGTAAAATAAATACATAAATATGTTTTGAAAATAAAAATATAAACGATTGTTTAAAAAATTTAAAAACATATATGTAATGTGATGACTTTTGGAAAATTAATTTTTTCATTTTTAAAAAAAATGAAGTTAACTCTTACCAGTAAATCTATTTCTGTTCTTATAAATCATGATGTGATTAATTTTTACAAAGATAATTTAAAATTTTCCATTGACAGATACTTTCTAAGTACTATCAGGGACTAATGATCTAACTCAGGAAGGCAAAGAAATATATCTTTGGAATTCCAGCATTTGAAAGGGAAGGAATAAAGATTGAGGAAAATCAAGGTTAAATAGCAATTTCTAGTACAGCCAAGATTATACAAATAAGATCTGTATTAAATAATAAACAAAAGTCACTCATTGACTAAAACAGGGATAGATATGGTTAGCAATAATAAATTTGTACCACATTTGCAGGGATGGCACAAAACTTCATTATTTATGCTATATTCACATAGATCAGACCTAATTGACTCTTATGGAACAAGTAAGCAATTCTGTTCTGCAAGCAAAAAAAACTTGTAATTAAGGAATTCCAATTAAAAGCTCATTTCTGTAATTGAGCAGAGATGTAATCAAGCTTAAAAAGAAGAAAAGAACAAGATGCATACAGTTTATTTAGGGGAATAGGCATAGTCATATTAAACTTCAATAATTTAAGAGTTGTATCTGTATTTCCATAAAGTACATATATTTTTCCATTACTCTCTTCAAGATAAATTGCAAAAGTCACCTTGACAGTCAGATTAAACAATTAAAATTCAAAATATAAGCAGTATTTGGAAACATGCAAATACATAAACAAATGCAATCTACTAAAATCTGTGTTTAAAAAATGTTTACTATAGATGTACAGGAGTAAGTTTAAATTACTTTATGCACTAATGTATGCCACAAAGTATGAGATACAAATAAATAAATAAATAATATGATATTGATAGTAAGTATCTGTTGGGCATTGGACTGTTTGCGGAACACATAGTAATGTCTGGAAAGCTATTCAACAATATCCAAGTTCTATGTTGCTACAAACATTTAGAGCTAGTCATGAACATCATAGTGAAAAAAAAATTACGCAGCTTTGATGCACTGCTGCTTAGTAAACCTGCTTGCTAAGCTTGTTGTGTGTTGCCCTCTTGCACCTGATGCAACTAACCCCAACCAAAACACGAAAGTAGGAAGGTCAAAGATGGGGAGAAGGGATTCCGCAGAAGTAGAAAAAAGATTAAAGAAGATAATGGTTGTAGAAATGATGAAAGTTCATTTCATACATGTATCAAATTCTCAAAGAATAAAAATTAAATAAACATTAAAAGTCATTCATGAACTCTTTAAAGATTTCTTTTTATTTATGAGATATTTGCATGAGTTTTTGCATGATTGTGTGTGTGTGTGTGTGTGTGTGTTCATGTGTGTGCAAGTGACTGTGGAGGCCAGAACAGGTTTTCAAGTCCCCAAGAGCTAGTTTCAGGTGGTTGTTGAGTCATACTGTGCTGGTGCTGGTAACCAGTCCCTAATCTTCTCAACTGCTGAGCCATCTCTCCAACTTCTCATAAACTCTTTTGTTAAAAACATTTTAACCTCCATTAAAAAAATTACTGTTTTTAGGGGTTTCCTGCTGTACAGCATTACTACTTGTATAAGATAGAAGACTAAGATATATCTGGTACTTATTTACTTGATGTCCTTACTGTCTAAAGCTAGAGCACATAGATGGCCTGTATAATAGACTAATAATTTTGCTACAAGGTAATTTTTTGCCTCTGGAAACACAGAATATAACATAGTTCATAAATATAATTACATTATTTTTTCAATAAACTTTCCATCATTCTGTACTATGTTGATAGACTCCAATCACATCCTTTCCTCATGACTAACACCATTCCTAGGACCAGGTAGGAAATTAGTTGCATATACAGATAAATGCATGAACAGATGAATTCCATGTGGAATATAAATACTTATCAGATAAGTAAGCACTAGACAGATCTTTGCAAAATGACAGTAATAGAGGAACACATTGAAGCTATTTCTTCTTACAAAATTACTGAATTGTTTTGAATTATGTGAAACCTTTTTCTCTCAAGAATACAGAAGACAATACCACCCAATGAATTTAATATGGAGAAGTCAAGCTGGGGCTTATCTAGAGCCTTTCCACCTACAGACTCATGTTCAGGGTAATGGAACGCAATTTGCCTGCTACTAAAGAAAAAAAATGTAAACACCAATCCAGCTATACACTCTTTGTTCTACAGTAGTGACCTGCCTGCAAGATGCCCTAGTGCAATACTGGCATGAATCTTATGTGAATAACCGCCAAGAACTGATTGGATTTAAGACTCAGATCTTGATATGGAACCCATGCACAGCACTGTTCAGGTGGCCAAGGACCTGAGATTAGATAGGCCAGGAATTTAGAGGAAAACCAAAGACTACTGTTCTTCTAAAAGGAATGTAGTCATAAAATGACTCCTAATGACATTCTGGTATATTTACAGATCAGTATCTTGCTTAGCCATCATCAGAGAAATTTTCTCCTGCAGTAGATGGGAACAAATCGAGACCCAGACCTTAGTAATGTAGAAAAAGTGAAAGAACATAGAACACTCTGTCCTAAGTGAAATCTGCCCATCAAATCTCTCCCTTCAGAGCTCAAGGGAACCCTGTGGAAGAGGAGGTGGAAAGGGTGTAAGAGCCAGAGAAGATGGAGGAGACCAAGGAAATAAGGCCTCCTAGATATAGCAAGGATGGCATATATATAAATCCACAGAGACTGTGACAGCATGCATAGATCCTGGACAAGTTTAAGCCAGATCGGTACCAGCACTAAAAAGAGAAGTGGACACAATCCCACATCTATAACTCAAAAGCTATCTCCAATTAATAACCACTTGCAAATGAAAAATTTATTTTTCAATGAAGTCTTACTGGATATACAGGCCATTCTAAAGCCAGGCATCATGCCCAGCAGTATACAGACAACACAAAATAAAATCAGTGGCAATTTTGGAGGATCTTTGTCTCATAATCCTTTGTTAAATAATAACCTACATTCCGATCTTATCAAATAAACCTTATTGTTAAACAAGTAGAAATTATGCAGATATAATGATGAAATTCTTTAGATGGGACAAATTATACAATTATAGATAAATCTAAAATCTAATCATGCATGGGGTTAGAAAGATGTCTCACTTGTTAAGGGTGTTTATTACTCTTATATATTCTAGGCTCTTTTCCCAGAATCCACAAAGCAGATCACATGGCTATCCAATCCACATGTGGTGCACATACAAATATGCAGGCAAAACAATAATACAAATAAAATAAAACAAATAATAAAAAACTTAACAGTGTATAAAATGAAAAATTTGTGTCAAAAATAAGGAATTCAGTGGTATAAACAATGGTATACAGTCCTTAAGAAAAATATGTAGCAATCATATGACATTGTTAAAAACAGCAAACAAGTAATAACTTCATCACATATTGTAAAACTGGAACAATATGGAAAAGATTAGCTTTGTCCCTGCACAAGGATGAAACACAAATTTGTGAAGTGCTCAATATTTTTCTAATGACATTGGCAGAAAGGAAGTGGGTTTGAATGGGAGTGTAGGTGCGAAAGAACTGGAGATAGAGAGAGGGAAAACCATAATTAGGATATACGATGTAAAAAATTGTTTTATGTAAAGATAAAAGAGTAACAAACAATATTTCATTAAAGTAGTTTCCTCATTAAGCAATGGAAGGATATATGACTGCAAAGGGTAGACATACTATTACTATATTTTATAAAATTTTATTTCCTCAACTGGGTAAAAGATATATTGGTGTTTATAACTTCAATATGTGCATATGAAATTTCATAAATTTGAAAATAAAATCCTACTTTCCATAGTCTACTTATCCAATAAAATATTTAGAAAAGTGTAACCATTCAAAATATACTTAGTTTGAATACCTATTGCTTTATATCAAACTACCCCTATATTTAGAAGTTAAATCAACAAACCATTTTTTGGGGGCACACCAAGTGTTTCTGTACTTTTGATTTAAAATATTTGTTCTTTCTTAAAATATTTGACCTAATGGTAGTGAATTGATTACATTTCACATAGTTGATAAAATATCAGCTTCCATATACTTAATATATCAATGTTCAATAGAGTGTAAAATATATTAATATATTTTCTATCATATATTACTAGATATAAAGCTAAGCAAGATACTGATCTGTAGCTCAAAATACTTGGTCTGCAAAAATTGATTCATACAAAGGATGATTCATTCGATAAATAAGCAACACTAGCATCTCACTACTAAATGTGTTTTAGGTTACTCCACAAGATAGACCTAGTACTTTATTGAGGAGGTAATATCAGGATGGAAGAATTCCAAAATATAATAAAATGAAGCAGAAGTTATCATTCAGGAATATATTACTGAGGTTAATATGTATTATTTTTTAGTATGTGCAGCCAAAGCCTTGTTTCTTAAAGGGAATATTTCTTTCTACTTTAAAATAATCAAAAAAAGAGAAATAATTCATTTACCACTTTTATTTTTCTTGATTAAATATTGGACCACGGGGCATCAGTTATTTGGTACTACTTGTTTTCCCTATCAACAACATTTTTTTAGGCATGAGTATCAGATCCTAAGAGAATAGTGATTGCCCCCATGGCAATGTGGTGACAGATTTCAATAAGTCTTCCTACAGTGTACATTAAGTCCTCTCCTCTGTGGTTTACAGCATGATTTAGTGTCCATCATTCTTCCTGCAGGGCCACCTGAACACCAAACAGAAAACTATTGCCTAGTGAATGTGTGGAAGTACATAAACAACCTGGCACAAGCAGTAATCAAAAGCTGGAGGTGTCTTGCTCTGGATTTATGACAAAGGGTGTTGGTAGGAGCAGTTCTGAAGCAGGGTTCCTTATGCTGCTTGTGAGATATGTTTATAGCTGTACTGCAGTAGATTTGACTTCTACTTCTGTATTTCAGAAAATTATGATAAGCTTTCTGAAGAAATACTATAAAGACAACAAAAGTAACAAAAGGAAAAGGTTTGTAGCAAGAAATATTTGGGGCCATTAAGTTTAAGACCCTCTTGCTGTCAATATGTCTAGTCACTGGCAATCTGCTATAAATGTTAGAATCTTTTCGGCATAAAGCTTCAAGTTGAAAGATTCAAGTGTAGTTCCATCCTTGACAGTCTCATGACCTTTAGGGGAGAAAAACTCAGCTCTGTTTTCAAATTGTTGGTTTGCTCTCTAACCAAAACTCCTTGTTCAGTGAGTCCTGAAGTCTGGACTTTCCTTTGCAGTCTGAACAATGACTGTAATATCTTGGCATAATCAGTGATCACTGAAGGACTAAAAAAATTGCACAAGTCCATATTTCAGTTGTAGTTTTTAAGGTAATGTTTTCTCTAGATTAAAAACCTCGTATGTCACCAAGCCAGTGGATGTTCCCTAGCAAGACATTTGAAAATATGGAACACTTTAATATTTGAATGGGGTATATAAGGCATATGGGCAATTGAACCTCTGTAATTCTTGCTCCTATTAATGGGTAGGGATTGGAAATGAACAAAAGAGGAAATCAAATAATTGAAATCTGAATTTTTAGAACCAAGACATGGTTACACAATTCGCAAGCCAAGCACTTGAATGGCTAAAGTAGAAAGATCTCTGTAAGCGGACAATGAGGACTACTGAGAACTCAAGAACAATGGCAATTTTTTTTGTAGGTCATTGTTTTTTTTTTTATTTTTATTGAAAAAAAAAATTCCTGCCTCCTCCCAGCCTCCCATTTTCCTCCCTCTCCTCCCGCCCCTCTCCCCCTCCCCCCATTCCTCTCCCCCTCCCCCCATTCCTCTCCCCCACCCTCTCCAGTCCGAAGAGCAGTCAGGGTTCCCTGGCCTGTGGAAAGTCCAAGGTCCTCTCCCCTCCATCCAGGTCTAGGAAGGCGAACATCGAAACAGGCTAGGCTCCCACAAAACCAGAACATGAAGTAGGAACAAAACCCCATGCCATTGTCCTTGGATTCTCATCAGCCCTCATTGTCCGCCATGTTCAGAGAGTCCGGTTTTATCCCATGTGTTTTCAGTCACAGTCCAGCTGGCCTTGGTGAGCTCCCAATAGATCAGCCCCACTGTCTCAGTGGGTGGGTGCACCCCTCGTGGTCCTGACTTCCTTGCTCATGTTCTCCCTCCTGCTCCTCATTGGGACCTTGGGAGCTCAGTCCGGTGCTCCAATGTGGATCTCTATCTCCATCCATCACTAGATGAAGGTTCTATGGTGATATGCAAGATATTCATCAGTATGGCTATAGGATAGGGTCATTTCAGGTTCTCTATCCTCAGCTGCCCAAGTTTGGGATCAACCTACCCCTGGACCCAGCAATACCACTCTTGGGAATATACCCAAGAGATGCCCTGTCATATGACAAAAGCATTTGTTCAACTATGTTCATAGCAGCATTATTTGTAATAGCCAGAACCTGGAAACAACCTAGATGTCCTTCAATGGAAGAATGGATGAAGAAAGTGTGGAATATATACTACTCTGCCATAAAAAAACAATGACTTCTCGAATTTTGCATGCAAATGGATGGAAATAGAAAACACTATCCTGAGTGAGGTAACCCAGACCCAAAAAGAGGATCATGGGATATACTAACTCATAATTGGTTTCTAGCCATAAATATAGGTCATTGAGTCTATAATTTGTGATCCTAAAGAAGCTAAATAAGAAGGTGAACCCAAAGAAAAACATATAGTTATTATCCCTGCTATGGGAAATATACAAGATTGCTGGGCAATAAATTAGGATCTTTGGGGTGGGGTGGGATGGGGGTAAGGAGAGATGGGGAGAGAAAAGTGAGAAGGGGAGGATGGGGGGAACTTGGGGAAACGGGAGGATCGGGGATAAAACAAGATTGGATAGAGGAGCAGGGAATCACATAACTTAATTAAGAGAACCACCTTAGGGTTAGGAAGAGAAATGAACCTAGAGTGGCTCCCAGTTTCCCAGGGCAATGTCCCCAGTTAGTTCCTTGGGCAATGGGTTTTTGATCCTACTGCACATACTGGCTTTGTGGGAGCCTAGGCAGTTTGGATGCTCACCTTACTAGACCTGGATGGAGGTGGGTGGTCCCTGGACTTCCCACAGGGCAGGGAACCCTGATTGCTCTTTGGGCTGATGAGGGAGGGGGACCTCATTGTGGCAGGGGGAGGGAAATGGCAGGAGGTGGCTGGGAAGAGACAGAAATCATTAATAAATAAATAAATTAAAAACATAAAGTCAATGAGTTCCAGACCAGTCTGGGATACATAGCAAGACACTGTGTTGTTAAATGATAATATACATAAAGAAATTTTACTTCCACATAAAACCTGTGTAACAACATATGTTATGATGGAGAAAAATCTGTAAATATATAAAATTCATAAATGTTTTAGAAATAAAGCATGTGTGCTAAAACAGACACTAAATACAATTTTAATTTATCTTGAATTCACTGAGACATAATTATTTACTCAAAGATTATTTGCTTATGAATCTATAAAATATTTATTCTTAAGTACGCTTTTACAAGTTTATATATTTGTGTAATACATTTCCTTCAAATTATATGATAATTGCCTGTTTGTTTTTCAGTTAACTTTCAGTAAAGACTCTGATAAAGGAAGGCTTAAGAGAAGATAATTCGATATGCATAGATTTTTTGAAAATGTATTTGTGAACTTATTAAGTTCAAACATCTATGTAGGCCATTCAATTAAAATTTATAGGTTAAACATGAGGAAAAGAGAAGAAATCTAAAATTTAAGGCCTATCCAAAATTCACTAAATTGAAAAGTCTGAAGTGGCATTTTCCAAAACCCCTGATAGGATTTTGATACAGAATTAAACTTGACAACTACTGTCAAGAATGGTTGTTACTGGTTAACTTTTTATTAAGTTTGTTTGTTTACAGTGATATGATGAGATTAAGTCATACATTTGTATGCTTTAGGATGGAACATTCTATTAGTTCTAGAAAAGTTTTGCATATCACTTCAAAAATTATTTTTCACATTTTCTGTCTCTTGCCCATTTGGTATTCCAATTTAAATTTATTGCAAGTCATTTCCCATTTCTTACTCTAAATTTATTTTTTTCTTTTTAGTAATTTTAAATTTTTCTTCCTTTTCTTATTTTAAAGTTTCTTCTGACTTACAATCCAATTTAATATGCGTATCTCTACCTAGGTTTAGTCTGTCACTGATCTCTTCTTCAAATTTTTTTCATATGCATAGTATACCAATATATATACCTATATACACACTCATATATATGTGTGTGTGTCTCTCTCTGTCTGTGTGTGTATGTGTGTGTGTGTGTGTGTGTGTGTGTGTGTGAGAGAGAGAGAGAGAGAGAGAGAGAGAGAGACTATATGTGTGTGTATGTGGTATGTGTACGCTGAAGGATACATAAAAAAACAGGAGGCAGCTAAGACTTCTCTAAATTATGTTAAAATTATGTTATAGAAGATGAAGATAAATTACCCAAATGAATAAAGACC